ATGGAGATTGTCAGTATATAAAGAAAAAGGATCCTCCTTCCTTTTTTGGTTGCATAAGATTGCATTGAATAGATATACAGTAAGTTATTGGATCTGTTGATGAATGTTTTATAATGCAATTATAGTGATAACCTTGAACCCAGTGTTATAGTATCTGCAGGGTATAGCTGTAAGATGAAGTCCTAAAAGTGTAATTTGAACTAACTATAGATTAGTTAACCATTTTGTTAGGTGTTTTGTTTCAGAAGGCTTGTTGGGCAGCTTCACTGATAATGCCATTTCTGAAGACCTAGAACATTCAGAATCAACAAGCTGGAAGAATTAGAGCACCTTTTTTTCAGACAGTGATGACACTGATTCTTTTCTACCTGTGATAAAATAAAATGATTCAGCATCTGTTTGAAAACCGAGATATCTGATACTTGGAGATAAGTTTTATCCCTGTCAAAGTTGTCTTTATGTGTGAGACAGATGAGAATCAAATTATGGTTTGACTTTTTCCCAGCATTGTGATCATGGGCAGGTGATTTATTCTTTCTGAAACTCTTGCATTATCTGTAAGATGTGGACATGATACCTACCTCATAAGGTTTTTGTAGAAATAATTGAAATAATGTGTGTGATATGTTACCCAGTGCTTTACAAATTATCCAATAAATAGTAGATATTGGCTCAAACATGCTGCTTTTTTGGCCAGTTCTGCAATCACTTTTGGGAACAGCTATCAACCTTGCAAAAGTTGTCATTGTTTTGTGATCAGTCTCTTTGGTATCAATGAAAATTTACAGGATCCACCTGGCTCACAAGATTTGATCTTGAATGACTGAACTGTTAGCAGAATGAACTAGAGTCTCAAAGGATAAAGTTTACCATGAGGGTATTCAAAATGCTAGAAACTTAGGAAGCTGTTTCCAAAGAGAGATTCCTGCTATCAATCATGACAGCATTGTCACTGTATGTGTGATCTCCCAGAGTGCTACTTTGGGTTTGAAATTCACTCAGATGTTAGAAGATTAGGTCTCTTTTTCATTATACCTTGTAAACAAGGCTCATTTGGACTTAGGGCTTCCCTCAGGAGTGATATTTAACCTTGCTGATAAAATCATGTCTACCAGTGGGAGCCCTCCAGCCCATCTGTGCTGAAGTTCAACCTTACCATGTGAACTGCTACAGAGTGACCACAGGCTGACTTTGCGTTCACCATTCAGATACCGTCTCCTAGTTTTATGTTCTTGCAGCAGTGAAAAGAAACTCACAAGACCAATATTGACTGAGATATGTATGATATTCTCATATGTTGGAGAAACCTGGTTTTGAGGTATAGTTGAAAATTTGTGCTGTGGATGGGGTCTCTGGTGCTGAAAATTATTCTTTTCCTGGGAGTTTTGTAGTTTCCTTTGAGAAGAAGCCTCACAAGATGTTCCTTTATTCATTTAGTATTTTTTTTTTAAAAGAGAGACTTGCTCTGTCACACAGGCTAGAGTGCATTGGCACTGCAACCTTGACTTGGTTTTAAGCAGTCCTCGTACCTCAACTTCCTGAGTAGTTGGGGCTTATAGGTATATTCCATCATTCCTGGCCACTTTGTTGCCCATGCTGGTGTTGGGTTTTGAACCCCTGAACCCTCTCAGAGTGCTAGGATTATAGATGTGAACTACCACACCCAGCCTCTTATTTCCCTTTAAAAATGTTTGAAAACTCAAGTTAATGTTATCTAAGAAAACTTTTTTGCCACTCCAGACCATAAAATGAAGGTTACTCAAAATACTAGTGTAGGTTACTCCAACATGTGAAAAGATTTTAGAATTGATGCTGAAAATTTAATACGTTGAACTTAAAAAGTTTATTTCTAAACTGTAACCCTCCCGAACAAAACAACAATAAAGGGAGAGAAAAAACAACCTTGTTTAAAGTCATCAAGAGGGATCAAATTTTATGAATTGAAATTACCAAAGTTATGTCTTTAAACTTCTCTTCTGGCTTAGTATTGTATAGGATTAAGCAGTTGCTTGTGACTTAAAGGAGCAGTTTTCTTTTTCTAACTCATTTACTCAGTTGCCACTTGTATGACTGTAGAGGAAAGTTAGCTGTGTGGTTTTTCTAAGATGTCTGCCCATGTTGGTTCATAGAGCCTGTGTACACATGTGTAATGTTTTCATTTCCACTAAGTAGTTCACTCCCTAGATACTATGCTGGTATTTGTTTTTCTCCTGATGTTGTCCACATTTTTAATGCCTCTTCAGAGTTATTCCTCCTGAAGGAACACTACATACTGTACTGGAGCAAATGAGGCTTTTCTTAAATGTCCATTCTTGGGTTTTGCACGTAGCATTTCCCTTCCTTACACTGATGAATGGCTTCTTTTTCCCCGATTGACTGTTAGGGCCTTGCCTTGTGGAAAGGAATAAGGTAGTGAAGGAAAAATGTTTTGAGATCTTGCCTGGTTTTAATAGGGAGTTTGTGACACATAGATTTTCAGATGTTCAGTTTATACCTTTCCTAAATCTGGTTGCAACATATCCACTCAAGTACTGAAGATCTAACATATGGTATATTTTGCAAGGCACTGGGAAAGAAAATGAACTGAGAATGGTGAGACTGTGGAAATTCCCAGGGTGGGGTGTTGCAAAACTTGGGTCTTGGGCCTGCTTGAATCACTGCCTTGATGGTAGAACCTTATGAAAGGTGCAGTGCAGTTGCATCATCTTACATACACATTTGTGCAGAGCTGGAAAGCAGAAAGGTGCTGCATAAGTAGTGCATACGCTCGTGCTCACCCTTCAGTCAGTGAGGGCCGTCCCGCACTGACCCACCTGTGTACTCAGTGGTCTCCATTCCCTTTGTGTTCTGATAGCGTGAACGTCTTGCTGTCCAACAGCGCTTCTGGTATTTAGAGAGAACTTTTTCAAACAGTTTGGTCCCCAGATGTGAAGCCAGCTACTTCACCTGGTGTTTAGCCAAAGAAACAGAGATCTATTTTGATATTGGAGGAAACACTAGCTAATTTTTTATTTATTAAAAGATGGCATGTGAGTCTTTGTGATATGTAAATGCTAATGTAAAAAATTGCGTACCATGTACTTTGTAGATAACTTGAAGCAAATTTGGTAAGTGACTTGAGAATAAGATGTAACTATACTTAGTGACAGTGACTTAGGCTCTCAGTTTCATCATCTGTAAGGTACTAGAAGATAAAAATCAAATTATATTTGCAAGAGACACAGGATAACTAAGGAGAGCTAGAAGCTCTTACCTAACAGTGGAGTGATTTAGATGACAAGAAGTTATTAATCACATCTGCCATTTCCTGTTACTGGAATGGCAGTCTTGTTTGGCTTGATGCTCTGGTTTTGGGAAAGTACAGTGTAGCTCTTGAGAGCAGTCAGTAGACCAGACTGAAATAAATGGGCTTTCTAAATCAGTGAGTTGAACGCATTGGCTGCTGGGAGCACCTGGCAGCAATTGCTACTGGAGAGCTGGCACAGCTTGCTTTCCAGGAGTGAGTCAAGTTCTCAAATAGCTGACCAGTGGCCAGCAATTCGAGTCTGCTTCTAAATCTCTTTTCTTTCTCTCTTCACTTACTATACTGCCAGGTTCTTACTATCTACACCTTTGTCTTACTGTTTGAATTTTGTAATGGGTCACCAATAGGACAATTTGGCTCTAAAATCCTGATTCTTTTGAACATGTTAAAGCAAAATGACATAGAGATGTTGGCTCAACCAAATCATCTGGAGTGTACCTAGTATTTCATGTGGGTTCATGAAATGGTCTTCACTATTACGTTGCTTAAATCATGGAGTCTAAGCTAACTGACAGGGCGGAGGTACTAATATTTCCAGTTAACCCTGATTAATCACATTCTGTGGTTAACACATTCATGTGGTTGTTTCTTTTGCTACAAAAGAAACTTTACAACTCACACTTGATAAACTAAGTGATTTTGTAGATAAATTGTGGGAAAACGACACATGCTATCAATAGTATCTTAAAATCAGTCAAAACAATGAAGTGACTATGAAGGACTCCTTTTCAATTAAGATGTACACATATTTAGCAAGCACCTGAGGGTAGAAGTCAGAGGTATGTAATGCCAGCAAACTGGCAAGCACATGTGTCATGGAGAAAGTGGCATGATCTTCAGGAGGAAGGAGGCCTTGATTTCCAGAATTATTTTTTCTCATGGGAAGGATTTATTGAGCAGTTACAGCTTGCTACATTGTAGAAGTTGCTGGGGGAATTCAAGAGACAGACATCTCTTCTTCCCTCAAGGGGCTCATTGACATGTAGGAACTGAGTGATGTTTGGACTTTTGGGTACTACTAGTACTTTGTTTTCTCAGGAACAAACCTCTTTCAGTCCAGAAGCCAGCCTAATACCAATAATTGTACTGTGGTCTTTATAGTTTTGGTTTCCCTAAAATGATAGGTCTGAAAGTTTACCCTCCCTCCCAACAGTTAACCAGGGCAATGGTATCTGGTTAGTGTGACAGGTAGAGGCAAAGATGATAATCTCAACATGTCTTCTTTCTCTACTTCCCTTCCCTTGGCAAACAGAACAAGACCAGCCTCCCTCTGAAGGGAAATACTATTTCTATGCAGAAATCTGGTGCCAAGGTAAAGGGGAGCCATTGGAAAAAGATGCTTAAATGGGAATCAAAGTTGTGATTTAAAAAGCACTGATTGCCACAAAGAAGAGCTATTAAGAATTGCCTTTTTATGGAGAGAACTTAGGATAGAAACGCTTAGAGAAAGGAGCTAACATTAGCTCTCAAGTTCTGGGTGAGGTTTTCCTCCTCCAAGAGAGATGTCACTGGTCTCACTATCTGTATAGGTAGGGTGGTTTGGGTATCTCCTTTAACTCCTAAAAAGGTAGTAAGAATAAAATAAAACCTAGTGAGGCTTAGCCTCTGAGGGGCAACCAAGACAGGCTTTCTTCCTTTCTTGTCTTCAGAAAGAATTGCATAGAAGGGCTGGTTATAAGGAAGCAAGAACAATTTTAGGGTTTTTTGAGCTGTGGTGCTAAGGAAGGGAGGGCAGGGAAGAAGACACTAACAGCCAAGCACGTGTTTGTGGTTGTTGGAAGATTTTTGCACTTCACTTGTGGTAGATGGTGGGATCTTCTGGCAAGGGATGCCTGGGCGTGGTTCTGTTGTCCTGTGCTCCTGATAGTTTTCTTGGTGTATCAGATTTTGCTGGGTGGCAGCAGCACCTTAGGCCAGTTTGTGCACTTGTGTTAGGCCTGATCAGTGATGTTACTGACCTTTGCCCATGCTGGATACGTGTCCAGGTGGAAGAGGCTAATTCCCCAGGTGTTGATGGCCACCATTACTATTACCAGTCCAATGACATTGACCCCCAGGCCAGCTTTCACCTGCAGGACACAAACAAGCACTCTGTCACTCTGCCTCTAGTTTCTCTGCCCAGGCAGCAGCAGCAGAGATCCCCAAGCACTCCCTGGCTGTGTCCCCAGCCCAAGCCTTGCTCCATTCACATGGCCCTGATTGGTTCCAGTCACTGCCTTGGGTGCTCTAGTGTTGCCTTAGGGTGGCACGGGACCTTGAAAAGATCAAAAGGCAAGAAGAGATTGGGGCTGGGAGGAGGTGATTAGAATCATCCCCACTTGTTGCTTGCAGCACTCACTATAAAGTGGAAGCCTCGAAGGTACATGAGTTATTTGGGATACCACATCTATGGAATGTGAAGTGATTTCTGTGGTTCAGTGATAGGGAAATGTATTAAACAAAATTAACCAGATCTCTTTAAAGCAAGAACTTTTTAGAGCCTTTCATATGCTAATACACACAGGGAACTCCGTATAAGGGGCTCTATTATCCAAAGCCTATACTGCTGTTAACCGTTTTTTTTTTTCTTTAAGAAACAGCTCATGGAAGTCATGTACCTTGGGTTCACCTGGGGAAACAGGTCAGCTACTTCTGCTCAGCTCTTAGGAAGGTGACACAGGCCTGCTAGCTGGAGTGGGGACTTTGCTTCTTTCTTCTGAGGCAACTGCATTTCAATTCTGCCCCCTTTTATTTTTGCTATGACATTGACATTCATAGGCTGAAAGGGGATGTGAGGGATGGCAGAGCCAGGGCGAGATGGAAAAATGTGTACAGGAAGGACAGCTGACATTCTTCCACGGAGTAACCAAGCATCTAGTGTGCAAGTCCACGAGCTGGCATTGATTTGGGGAAAGGGGATGTTGGGAAATGGCTCCAATAAATGGCTACACGTGTGGTCTCTCTCCTGCCTTCTGGCCAGGGCCCTGGACTTGTCAATCATCAATCCCCTGGGCCTTTTGGCATGGAGAATAAACAGCCTTTGTCTCCCAGTAAATGAGAAGGGGCAGGTTCTAACAGCTAAATTAAGGTTCTTTAGAGCTAAAAGGGACTCCATGGAACCTCCTCATTTAGCAGATTAGAAAAATTGAAGTCTTACGGGAGGGTTCGACCTGAGAGTAGATTCCAGGACTCGCTCACTTGTCATCTGGGACCTTTGAAAATATCTCTGGTCATTTGATTCTAGTATAGAAGGCTAGGGATAAATGGTGGGGGAACATAGCAGAGGCAGTAGAAGCTGGGGCACAGCCATGACCTCTCTTCTGGAAGTATCACAGATAACTTATATAAGCAGTTAGCACAGGTGGAAGGACCTGAATAACTGCCGGTAACGCGAAACTCTTATTCCATTCCTCCATTTGATATGCTACTGGGCTGCTTAGAATTCCCATGAAAAACCATTCTCAGACCATCAGCAAGAGTGAATGGGCCCTGCTTCAGGCAGTCAGGTCACAGTAATTTGTATCAGTGTTTTCCATCCTCTCCCCAGCCCCATGAGCCCTGGGTATTAAGAAGCACAGCAGAGTGGCGCCTGTGGCTCAAGTAGTAGGGTGCTGGGCCCATACCAGAGATGGTGGGTTCAAACCCAGCCCTGCCAAAAAAAAAAAAAAAAAAAAAGCCTTTGTGTGTGTGAGTGTAAAATATGCATTGCATTATGTGTAAAATGAATAAAATACATTTTAAAAATTAAAAAAAAAAAGCACAGCAATGGGTCTCAGTTGAGGAGTGGAGGGTGGATAAGCCCAACACTAAAGTCAGCAGCAGAATGTCTCCTCAAAGCCATCTTTTGTGAGCCCAGCTGAAAACTAAAAAATGAATGAATGGTAGATGCTTCATTTTCCATTGTGGCTTCAGGGGTTTCTTGCTTGGGGGAGAGTTGACCAAAAGAATCCTGTTCTCACAAAACCCCTTTCACTATAAGTTCACACAGTTTCTCATACTTCATCATCTATGAATAAACCAGCAGTCTTTGAGTGACTATCCCCACTGAGCCAATAAATAAACAGGCAAAGCTTTGTGCAAGCTCATGCCTTCTGGAACCGGGCCACTGCCTGTGTCTGTTCCAGCTCCATCTCAGTATCCATTTTCTTCCAGGTAAGGGTTGAGAGAACACCTTACTGCTCTTTTTGGTATGAATGGACCAACCAAAACCTTTTTACAGGTCTCATTCTTTCTGCCACACTAGGCTGAGTATTGATAGTCCAAGGACACTGCTACCATACAATAAATTCTGGGGGAAGGCTGTGGAGCGGTCATCCCTGTCCTCATGGCAGCTGGGCCTGGCTGGGGGGCAGCACCAACGACTCACCATATCTTTGATCTGGCAGTGCCCGTAGCTGAAGACAATGGCGTTGGGGGGATTGCCCACAGGCAGCATCACTGCAAAGGAGATGCACATGGTGACTGGGATCAGGGTGTAGAGTGGGTTAATGTGCAGTGTTTCAGACTAGAAGAGAGAATTCACAGAGACACCAGTGTTGAGATTTGGTTTGCATTTCCTATGCTTACCATCACAAACATGCTCTAAATGGAGACTTAGCATTAGCTAACCTTAGCTGGAACCCATGTGCTGGGGGCAGGTAAGTCCCTGCCCTCCAGGGCATGCAGTGTCCTTGGCAGCCTAAATGGGCTGATGCTGCTGTTCACTCACCCCTCCCCCCCACCCCTGACACACACACACACACACACACACACAGAAATATGGCTTTGAGTTACTTCCTAGGAGGAATGTTTGGGTTTGGGGTGCTTTTTAAAGGAGGAGATGTTTGGGGTTTGGGTGCTTTTTTAAGGAGGTGATTTTGGGTTTTTTTTGAGAGGGAGGATCTCGTCACCCACACTGGGGTACAGTGTTGTGACCACAGCTCAGTGCAACCTCAAACTTCTAGGCTTAAGCCATTCTCCTGCCTCAGCCTCCTGAGTAACTGGGAGTACAGGTGCATGCCACCACTCACAACTAATTTTCTTTTTTTTTTTTCTTTTTTGGAGAGATAGATCTCTTTATGTTGCCCAGGCTGGTATTAAACTCCTGGCCTTATGCAATCCTTCTGTATCCGCCTCCCAAAGTGCTGGGATTGTAAGTCTAAACCACCATCTCCACCCAAGAAGTGGTTCTTAAACTTTATTCTTTAGCTGAGAATTCCTTTCTTTTATTATTAGTTTTGTTCTGTATAAAATGGGGATAATAATGCCAACTCTTTTTCTTTCTCTCTCTCTCTTTTTCCCTTTCCTTTTTCCTTTTCTTCTCTTTTCTTTTTCTTTCAACACAATCTCACTCTGTTGCCCATGGTTGACGTTATCCTACCTTACAGCAGTCTCAAACTTCTGGGTTCAAGGGATCCTTCTGCCTCAGCCTCCTGAGTAGGTGAGACTATTAGGAGCCCACCACAATGTCTAGTTAATGGCTAATATTTTTTGTATTTTTAGTAGAGATAGGGTCTTGCTCTTGTTTAATGCTGGTCTTGAGTAATGAGGTCTTGGCCTCACAGAGTGCTGGGATTATAGGTATGAGCCTATACCCATCACACCCAGCCAGAGAATTTCTTCAAATAAAAATCTCATGAATAACCTATTTAATTGATGGCAGGATCCCTCACCCTGGGGGTGCAGAACTAAGGTGTTTATTCTAGGGAAGATAATTGCTTTATATGAGAACTCAATCCATGGTTTTGCTCTCAATGCTACCAAGTTTTAACTAGCTATATTCCCCTGCTCATGTAAGCAAAAGGACAAAAAGAGAGGCTGGAGACATCTAAGCACAGGGAGTAGATGGAGGGGCTGCCACATGGGGTTAGAAAGCAGGAGGAGACTCTCTTGCTGGGGTGGGGTGGGGCCTTCATTCCCAGGTTCCACTTCCCTAAACGGGTCAGATACAGAAGGTGCACTACCTTTTGGGCTACATGGCCAGGCCAAGGTCTGGCAGTTGCTCCCCTCCCTTATTCCCTTCACAACAAATTGGTCCAAGGCTGTGGAACATGGCTGAAATTGTCCCCTTCTCAAAACTTTCTCAAGGATGATGAAATTGGGTGGACGTGGTGATTATGGTTAGTGCTTTGACCTTGGTCTTTGTGGCTGTGTGTTTTGCCTCCATTTTTTGTGGTTATCTTTGTGGCCCAACAGTCAAGTTTTTCTCAGGAGAGGAAGGTTGATAATGACTCTGAGGAACTGGAATTCTCAGTAGTTGTTGTTTTTAAAGAAACAGAAGGGGTTTTTTTTGTTTGTTTGTTTGTTTGGCATTATAAAGCACCTAAGAAGATAGTCCAGGGTGGTTATGGTACTTCCATGATGCCATCAGGGACCCAGACTCCTTTTATCTTTCTACTCAGCCATTGTTAGGAATTCTAAGTTTTTAAGGTTATTTTGTCTTTTTTTTTTTTTTTATGAAAGAGATAGGATCTTGCTCTGTCATCCAGGCTAGAGTACAGTGGTACAATCATAGCTCACTGCAGCCTGGAACTCTTGGACTCAATTGATCTTCCTAGCTTGGCCTCTTAAGTACTTGGAAATACAGGCGTGCATCACCATACCCCACTAATTTTTTATTTTTTGTAGAGATGGGGGTCTTGCTGTGCTGCCTACACTGGTCTCAAACTCCTAGGCTCAAGTGAACCTCCCACGTCAGCCTCATAAAGTGCTGCGATCACAGGTGTGAGCGGGCCGCCTTTTGTTTCCACTCAGGGCTGCCCCTAAATTAATCCTACTCTTTGGGGAAGGTGTTTCTAGAACTCTTGCTATGATTTACTAATGTATCTTTTTATTTATCAGTTACTATTTGAAAAACTTCATTTTTCATAATATGAGTTGAACACCAATCAGCGAAGGCTTTTGGTAGTGACCAGAGGAGAGGGCACAGCCCAGGGAGCTTCCCTGGAGCCAGGCCTACCACTGCAGGCCCTGGGGCAGCCTGCCTGGACATCTGAGAGCCCTGTAGTACTCTGTTACTCACCAGGCTGCACAAGATGGGCAGGAAGATGGTGATGGTGGCTGGGTTGCTTACGAACTCGGTGACAATAGACACAAGGATGCATGCCAGCAAGGTGACAGCCCATGGGGGGAGGCTGCTCAGGGACAACATCTGGTTCCCGATCCATGTAGAGAGGCCAGAGCTCTGCAGGAGGGAAAGGTGTTACGGTAAGAAGAAAGGGGAATGAGCACATCCCTAGCGGAATTTTTCAGAAGCCCAGGGATGTGGGAGGGTTGGACCACCAGGCATCATCTCATTTGTCTGTTTCAGTCTGACTGGAGCCAGAGGCATTCCTGATTTTTATCATTAGATCATTTTGTAGCCCAGAAAATTCTTTTTTATCCTTGCTTATGCAACATTCAGACTTTGGGTTTCCTGGTTAGTGGTCATCACAGGGCATTCTTGAGGACTTTGCCATGATGACTTGGCAGAGGTTGGAGATCTTTATGGCTCAACTTTAGTCTCACTTCCCTTTCTCCAATGTCTCAAATTCTTACTCTATACATTGACACAACAGTGCCCTTCACACAGAGTGCCAAGTGTAATCCTTTATTCTGCTTTTGAAATCCATTTCTGTTATTTTATCTCCTAAGAAAGGGAAACAATTATCTACATCTTTGGGTAGTAACCTTCCTGTATTTTTTAAGGGGTGAACATACAGTGCTGAACACTGGAAATTATACATGAGTAATAACGCACAGAAGCATTAAAAGTCTATCTCCATTTAGTGGAGAAGGTGCCTCTTCACTGGCATGTAACCATCAGCTCCGTCTGTTTTAGCTTCACATCCCATCATGGCTGACATTAGGATCTATTGTCTGCC